CCTGAAGTGAGGGATAAATCATTCTACAAGTCAGGTAGCCTTCCTGTATTTGGGTGTTACTTGGCTTAAAAAGGCTAGTAGGTTTGCTTAGACAATGTGAAATAGTGTAGTTCTGATACTGCAGAGTTGTAAATGCAAAATATTTGGCATGTGCCAGGCTGAAGTCTGAAAAACTTATTTTAATGTTTTGACATTAATAAATGACAAGGCAATTGACTTGGAAAGCAGAACTCTTCAAGTGTAAAAGCTTTAACTATATTGGATAGATTCTTACAGGAGATGGCTGTTTTGCATCAAGTTGGACTCACTAAAAATGGAAAACCTAGTGAATGTCACCCAATCAAGTAAGGAAGTTCTGAACTTTGTCTTGCATGGACTCTTGAATTCAGCCAAGTAATGAACACTTCTCACTCCTGTTGCAGAAGTAAAACTGTTTGTAAGAACACAGTAAATACTCAGTTGTCCCAAGTCTTCATTAAAGTAACTGCTTATTCCTTTTTCTTTCTGAAAGTACTTAGCTAAGTGAAACAAGGCTTTTACAATGTGTAATGCTGAAATTTAACTGTAGTGTTGTGACAACTAGTGTTTACAATGTGAAATGTTACAATGAAAACTGAGTAAGAATGTCCCTGTGAGCTTAAAGTAGCATGCCTGTTCAGTCACTGCTGTCACATCTTTGCAACTATAGACTACTGACTTTTTCCACTGGAAACTGAGATAGTCCAGGTGATAGCTAACTTACAGCCAAACTTAACAAAACTGAAATATGAATTTCTGGTAAGAATTTTATCCAGGTGGCCAATGCACATTTTAATCAGTTTTTTAACATGTATGGAAGTGTATCTGGCTTTGGCTTTTTTTTTTATGGTATAATGCAGTGCCACTGAATAATAAAGGCCTCTCTTTGTTTTTCTTACTGTGATAAGGACCAAATGCTAGCAATCTGAGGGCCTTACATGTGGTAAACCTGCAGTTTATTTTCCAACTCAGTTAGTGCACTCAGCAGCAAAGCCATATATGGAGCCTGACTCAACACCTTGACAGTAGCCCCTATAAATTAGGGGCCCAAGTGAGTGGGAAGCTGCCTCAGCTCTTGTTAGCACTGAATTCACTTTAAAAACAATAGGAAAATACCATCTAAGCTTGAAGCAATATGTGTTTTTTAAAGTAAGTTTTTAAACAGTATTTGTTTTTAATGCTTCTGTATTGTCTATATTTAATAGTGTAGTGTCAACTTGTATATGTAAATAAAATGAGTGACACAAAGTGCCTTGGCTGCTTGTAGTGAGTGTTTTGGGGGGGGGGGTGTGTCTTGGGTTTTCCTTTGCATGGCGCTTTAGAGTCTGCATGCAAAATTGGTGGAGGGTTAGATTGCAAGTCCAGAGCTGAGCTTTTCTGTTCCCCCTGGAACCTTCAAACAGATTCTTAATAGATGGCTACGCTGAAGTTCTACATGCTGCTGGTTCTATAGTAAAAATAGAGATCTTACGCTTTCATTCTCTGGGGGTGTACAATGAATGTATTCCTTTATTATTGTGGTGTTAAGTCTTTCAGCATACACAATGTAATGCAAATAAGCTGCACAGAGTAATCAAGCTTCTTTTTATAGCATTCATTATTTTAAGGACTTAGGAGAGCTGTGTACTCTTGAGCTATGAGGTACCTCACTGAATACAAAGAGCAAAATAGATCAACTGTGTATTCAATCTCAGATGCCTAAAGTGGGAAAACCTCTTCCTCTTTGCTTTAGCTTTTAAAAAGCATTAGCTGCTGAAGCTGTATTATCCAAGTGACTTAGATCTATCTCATCACTAGTCATTAGTGCAGAAAGACGCAAGGAAGCCAAGTGCAGCATTGCAGGGTTGGGGCCCTCCTATGCTGGTGGCAAAGCAGGCCCTGTTCCCAAGAAATACATGGGAGCGCTTCAACACTTCCACCTGCTTCCCCAGCCATATACTGACTACACAATGAACTTTTGTAAGACTACCTAAGGTTCGTCATATTCTGGACTTCACTTGGTAGGCAAAACTTGTACAAGTAAATAGAATTTGCTGTAAAACACCTAGAAAACCAAGAAAGACTCTTTATTTGGGACTAGATACAGGCATTAAATGAAATAGTGTAGGCCAACAGACTCATTAAAAGGCAAGACACAGGCTTTAATAAGACATTTAAATCCTTTAAGGGTCTAAATAGCTAAGGCTCCACATCCAACAGATTCCCAGGAGACAGGTACCAAGTATTGTTTCATGTAAAACTCCAAGCCATCTTGCTTTGGTAAAGTAAGAATTTTACATTAAAACCATACATAATTGAACATATTTCTCCCTTACTCTTAGGTGAGCTAGGTTTGGTTTGCAAACTATAATGCTAAAGCTTAAAAATCTACCCCAGGGCTGTTACTGACATGATATTTAAGTTTTAGAAATTAAAAAACCCTCACAGGAGAAACAGTAAACACTATAGCTTGCACTGGTGAGAGCTATTACTTCCATCAGGATTTCCCAGTTTAGGAAGTTTCTTTTCAAAATGTTAGTGTAGTGACAGGTGCAGCATAAAAAGTTGTGCTACTACAAAACATGCACATTAACCTGGTTAATGTGTATATAGTAAAAGTATACATAAAAAAGGTAAAAACATGTCAAAACTCATTATAATGACACTATTCTAGGAAGGGTACAGCTTAAGATGGTTACAGAAAGAATAAAACTGTGCTTTTTTTTTATGTAAAGGGAAAAGGGCAGGAAGAAATATAAGAAAATCCCAGCCAAATCCCTATATTTAAAAGCAACAGAATTAAGGAACAGTCCCGCACTCTTTTCAACTGCTACTGCAGTAATGGAAAGAAATTTTGATCAACAGCCAAGACCACTTTAACCACTGTAACAGTGACAGGAGAGAGACCTTCAGTCAACTTCACTTGTACTGTGTCCCAGCTGATAAGCAAGTACTCAGCTTTCACTTTTGTCAGTGTACCAAGAAACCTGATTAGATTGTGGTAAGGCTGGGGGGGGGGGGGGACGGATGACAAACTCTCCCGTATCTCATCCTTTCCCATCATTCCAGAACTCTGGCAGAAATACAACACACCCAAGTTAGTAATCTGCCATTTAGACTGGTGGAGTAGACAATTATGTCCAACACTCACTTCAGATGACTTGCTTTTGGTACTTGCTTCCACTTCTGAATACCGGGAGCTAAAATATATTGAGTAAGGATTAAGACAGGTAAGTTTCTTTGGAATTCTTTGATGTTTGTTTAAATGCATAGTTCATCTGCTTCAAAAAATACTTTACACTCCTGCCAGGAAGAGAATACTCCTTGGGAATAATTGTTACCAGTTATATAACAAATCTAATCCTAAGTAACATAGGAGAAAGAGAGATAATATAGAAGTCTTTGGACCCAACAGCCTTTTAAAACCTAAATGTAGACTTTTCAAATACAAAACAAACTTAATTCCTTTTAACACAGATGACCTAGGGTGTATAGTTTTCAGATAAGCAGCCACTTGAACCAAAAATGTCAGGACAAAGGGAATAATTTTAAACACAAACCTAAATCCATAAAAGATGGTCATATACCTCTGCGTAGCACAACAAAGCAAGCTCTTGTGCTTTAACTGCCCTCTAAATTACAACATGTCAGTTTCCTGGTTTAAACACACATTTGACAAGTAACCCTTTAAATAGAAGATACTCATATACAGACAGTAATAAAGCATGCTTGACCCTCGAATTTCAGTACTGGGTTCTGATCATAATTATGTTGTGTTAACTTGCACTTCCAATGAGACTAGGTAAAAATGTCACTAGTGATTTCTATCACTGCAAGTGCCCTCCTGATTTGGTTGAATTCAGCTAACTCCAGAAACACTAGCTTAGTTCTGCAACCCTCTATCTGGCAAAACAAAAGCCACAGGTCTCTTACCTGCTCAGTTGTCATGGCACAGTAAAAACGATATGCAATACTTGTGGTTCAGCCCTCCCTCTTGGACCTTCTGCAAGTCTCTTCTGTCTCCAGCTGAGGAATGAGGACAGGATTGCTAATCTCTTGCCTCACACCTCTTCCCCACAATAAAAAAAAAAAAAAAAAGGGGGGGGAGGAAAGAAAGTCTGAATTGTGTGTTTTAACACAGGGAATAAATAAATAAATAAATTCAGTACCAAGGCTGAAATTCCCCTTGATGAGTTCCACAGGGAGAAAAGGTTACGTAAGTGGTACGCCTGGTTTTTACCTTCCATCACAGGAGTCTCCTGGGGGCAGTGTGGACAGCATTTCATACAGTGCACTCATGAAGTTTAAGGATAGAGCACCGGCAAGACAGACAGTTCCTAATTTTAAAATTCCAAGTTCTTAATTGTACTTTATGAATGTTAAAGAAATTAGTATTTTAAATGTCATACATTCAAGATACTTTAGAACCACCTATTTTGGTTCAGTTTGTACATCGCCAGGTATGATTCAGAGATCATATTTCCACAATGGATTGCTCTGTTGTCATCAGAGGTTAGGAGAACTCCTACTGTGATAATTCTCTGTAAGCCCATGCCCCTGCCCCTGCCCTGGAATTACAACACACACAGAAGATGCACAGTTCTGTTCACATACACATTCCATCTTTGTGATGCCAGTGCTATACAAAACATCAGGACCAAGAAAAAAGATCCAAGTCAGTCAACAGCCATTTGAGAGACTTACAAGTATTTTTTCCTAAACTTCTGAAGTTTGATAGAAGCACTTCAGAAGTTACTTAAGAACTGTGATAAAACAGAATATGTGGACCAACAAAAATGACTTTTCCAACTTCCAACTATAGTAGTACATGTAATCATGGGTCCTAACCATATGCTGAGACTCAGTCAACAGCTTGTTAGAATGTGGCAAGCTGAGTAGGAAAAATAAACCAACTACCCCTCACTGACAGTATCGGTGGTTTTATAATTCAGGTCATAAATATAAACTACTGTGCAACAAACAAACATGACAAAGCCTACCTCGGTTAAATCTGTTTATATGATAAAAAAATAAAATATTAAACTGCTTGTAGTGCAACATTCTATCAGCATACGTAAGTATACCATGCTTCGTAAATTTACTGTTACATTATTTACAGGATATAAGCAGTGCTTTAAACTAGAGGTGAAAGAACAAAAATAGATAATGATAATGGTTACATACAGGTATGAGTTTTAATACTGTCCACCAAATTAGCAAGTCTGCTTCACAGACTTGACTGTCACATGAATATTCCTGTCCCACACAACACGGTTCCGTCAGCAGTGGTCTGCCCTGTCTGTAGATAGTGGAAAGATGTTTTTAAAAACCGCATAGCCTTCAAGCTGTTGTTTCTCCAAACACCATTTGCAAGGACAGCTGTAAAATACACAAAAACTCTGTCAGTTACCTGCATCTGACCACTCTAAAAACTCAGCTTCTAAAATAAGATAAAGAATTATTCACTTCTGCAGAGCCATACCAAAGCTCAACTAAATGAATGCCATTTTTCAGCAGTCTCCCAGGTGAAAGAGGATATTTTATGGGAAGAAACTAAGGGAGGAAAGCAGTTCAAGATTCCCATCCATTATTTACAACTCTGAGCTTTGAGAGAGAATCTCCCATAGCACAGAACCAAATAACAGAATGTAGAGTCACATGCTGCCTTGCTTAACCTTCTGTAGAGCTTCTGCTGTGTGCAATGCTCAAACTGATGAAAAAATGAATACAGTAAAAACAATGCACCATCTGTGCCTGCAGTACTTGATTAATTTGATATCACTGTCCTCATGTTAGAGAAATAAGGATTATGTCAGAATAATTAACTACACAGGGAGAAAGAACTGTCCTAAGAGCCACTTGCATACTGCAAAGAGTTATGTAAAATCCATGAATATTTAGACAACTGTTTGTAAGAAAGACTAACTACCAAGCTGTTCTTAGGAGTAGGTTATGTGACTTTAATGTCTCTTCCCCCGTGACTTTTACGTCACTTCCCCTACTACTGCTGAAGGGAAAAAGCTGTTCCTCGCCTTCTCTGAGGAATGTCTGTGGAAGACAACTGCACACCCATTCCACAGGCTGCAACAACCCCAGAAGAGCTACTTTAGATGACAACACTGCTTAAGCAGAAAATATTGATACTCTCTTGTTTACATTTCTGCTCATAGCAGACAGGAATCAGAATGACTTCAGGCTGCTTCTGGGTAGGAAGACTGAAAAAGCTACTGGGAGTTTGAAATCTAGTATAACCTTTAATTTTCAAGTCTTGAGTTTAAATTTCATATTTTGAGAAAAGACTATGTAATAGCTTCAGACAAGATAATTGTCCTGGTTTCAGCAGTAGCAGTCATTTTTCTTCTTCTTAGTAACTGGTGCAGTGCTGTGGTTTTGACTTTCAGCCTGGGAACAGTGCTGATAACACCGATGCTTTTAGTTGCTGGTCAGAATGTTTACTCTGACCAAGGACTTTCTTAGACTCATGCTCTGCCAGGGAGGAATGGAAGCCAGGAGGAAGCAGAGACAGGACACCTGACCCAAACTAGCCAAAGAGGTATTCCATACCACAGCACATCATGCCCAGTAGGGGGCAGTTACCCAGAAGGGTTACATCACTGCTTGGTCGGGCTGGGTATCAGTCAGCAGGTGGTGAGCAGTTGCATTCTCTCCCCTTGTTATTTCCCTTATCATTATTATTACTGGTGGTAGCAGTAGTGATTTGTGTTATACCTTAGTTACTGGACTGTTCTTATCTCAACCTGTGGGAGTTACACTCTTTCGATTCTCCTACCCATCACCCCAGGAGCAGGGGGAGGAAATGGGGGAGTGAGAGAGAGGCTGCGTGGCTGGCCTTAAACCATGACCAAATAATGCACCATACCTTTTGTGAATTCTTATTTCTAGTAGTATTTGTCCATGATACACCAGAAATAATTCACCTTCTCTACAGTGCATGAGGTAACCATGACGGCTATAATGCATTTCAGCAATGCAGAATTTTAAAATGTATTCCACAACACTACTCAAAGTAAGCAAACACAAGAAATACTTCAGTATATATAATACTTCAGCACCAGTCTTGCTGTAGTGGGCAGATGATAGAAGAAAAAAAATCAAAGTATAAACAAAAGAATCCATTCTACTGTGCACTATTTTACTAGATTCTATGTTACTTTCCAGGCTAACCCTGAAAAAGCCAAGCACTCGATACAGCATATTTATGAAGTATGGTAATTTACCCAACACCTTGAAATGTCTGTAACCTTACCTTCTGTATCTAAAGTAAGTATTTGGGATTTTATGTTTCATTTCTTTAACACCCACATTCTTGAGCACTTTGTGCTTGGGCTCTACGTGGTGATCTCAACTGTCTCAAGGCAGCATCTCCATACTGAATACCTGAGCCCATTCTTTCTGGATCCAGTTCTCCTGATGAGAAACAAAATGGTCACAAGAAGATGGATCATGTGCAAATAATACATTCCAATTTAACTGACAACATTAGAAAAGAGTATCTATATTCTACTCTAGCTACGGAGAGATCTATTGCAACTCTGTTTACTTTTAGGCAATCCCAAACTCGCGTCATTTTCTCTTGTAATTTTAACCATGTGTCCTTAATCATAATGACAAATCAATATGTCTCCAAGTCAGGCTGCAACAAAGAAATGTATTTGCACTAAGTGCTTCTAACAAAAGAAACGTCCAAAGTGTTTTCTGCAAACACTATTAAAACCCACCTTTTTTTCAGAGACTAATATGCAAAGGAAGCAGCATTGTAGATACCAAGCCAAACAGAAAAGCACTGCCCCCAGAGAAAAGATCTCAATCCTCCCTACTTCTAGTATCCATTTCTGCCTTCTCTATAGCCTATGCCTTCAGAAATGTTCTTACGGCTGTAGGGTGGACTTACCAAGATTAGAAACATTTACTTTAAATAAAAATTCAATACAAAAATCCCTCTGAATAGTTCTGAAGACTTATTTAGGTTCATTACACACTTGTGACCCCTTTGTAAGTTAGTAAATGACACCACGTTGAGGGGTAATTTGACAGCTCGAGGATAGAGCTGCCATTCAGAAAAGACCTTGGTTGAGCTTGAGGAACAGGCCAGCAGGAACGTGTGAAATTCAGCAACTACATACACAGAGCTCTCACTCCGAACCTGAATGTGCTTTAAACAGGAGGCTGGACTAGAGACCTCCATAGCTTCATTCCAGTCTCGATTTTTCCATGGTTCAGTGCTTCTGTACTGGCACAAAGAAAACAGGAACAGCTCACAGAAAGCATGACTTACTTCTCTTGTGGTAATGCCTCTTTAATCAGCCATGGAACTACAGTATTAAGAGAAACTAGCTATACTTGGCTTTTCAGTTTGGGGGTTTTGTGTGTTTAAGATGAAATTTGCTGTTTTGCATTGATTTGATGCAGTAATCAGGAAATTCCTATGAAAAGACCATACTCCTTTAATCTAAAAATTTGTGTTTGGCACTCAAAATAGGTAATTAGAGTCTGAGACAAACTTTTCAGTGGAGCTGATACTTAAAACTTTAAAGATATCAAACAGCTAGAAGAGAGGAAAACCGGAATGCAAACTAGCTGAAATGACACCTAACACTTAGAAGCCTGTCTCCAATAGAAACCTGCCCACTTGTGTTGTGAAGCTTTTGGTCTATTTCAGTTCTGCAAATGTAAAAATGGTTTCAACGGAGGGGCAGGAAGGTCACTTCAGAGAAACAGTTGCTAGGAAACACTCCTGAAATCTTTAGTATTACTGTTCAAATTCTCTTGGCTGTATTTCCTGCTACATATGAGAAGCAGAATTAAAAGTTACGTCTGCCCTGATCCTAGGTTTTTGTCCTGCATTGCTAAATCTGTCTAATGTCAGGCTTGATATTTGTAGGGACATTGCAATCCACAGAATGCGCCGCCTACACTCAAAGCTGACTTAAGGTAAACACTGTAAAAACATCCATAACTTACATACCTCCTCCCTCTTAGATGTCTTGGACATCCATTTCTATGAAAACATATGAGAAGCAGCTATAAGACAACTGGGTTATTTTACCACAACAAAATGTTGGCTCTTTGGATTAATTCTATTAGAGGACTTTGAATGATGGCATTTCCACAGCTGTTTTCAGTTTTCAATTAAAATAATAAAAAATAAATAAAACCTCATTTTACCTGATTCAATTTTATTGAGTATTTTTCTTGCACATTGTACAAAGGCCTCTTCAACATTTTCTCCTGTTAGCGCACTCGTTTCTAAGAACATCAGCTCTGCATTTGACATCAGAAAAACAATCTCAAAACAAGTCTGGATATAACAATATATACCTGATATACTAATTCAGTGCATAAAAGCTAGGAACAATAAAAGGTTTTTTAAGGAGAACTACTGTCAAATAGTATGGTCTGGAAAAAATCAGTTTTTGAGGGCAAAACCACATGAAACTTCCTCTGAAATTTATACAATAACCCTAGAAAGCTGGAATTCAACGATAACTTGGGCTGTGCCTGCAAAACAGCGAATGCAACCAACTTCATATAGTTTCCCATTCATATAAAAAGTAATATGCAAAAGGACAGCCAGCAGCCACAGTTCATGGAAAAGACTATTTGTAATAGATTTATAATAGAAAATCCAGATTTTACTTATGGCAGGACTGCAGCACAGCAGCTCAGACTGACACTGGCTTTAGCTGCCATACAAATGTATCCTCAGACTGGAAATTCTGAATACTACAGATCAGGTAACAGTCCTCCGGAGCCATGCCATGCACTGAAGTCAGTTTCCCATGAGTAAAACTCATTGCTTCCAACTGCAATACACCCTATCCAAACTTGTCTATGATCTATACAACCTGTACGGTGCTGAAAACTAGGAAATTGCACTCTTCTTTTTCTCTTCAGCCCTATAGAGGCAAGGTAATACCTGAAGTTGTACTACATTCCCTAAGGAGTATATCTCCACACAGAAGGTATTCTTTAAGCTGCAACAGGAAGAGTCACTGGTAATGAGACTTAAATAGTACATGTGGTTTTCATTGCAGGCACTTTCTTCTCTCTATACCTCATATACTGACAGAACTTTCTGTAGAAATTTGACTAGGTACAGTAGGCAATGTCCTACCTAACTGTACATATGTATAAATAATTTTAATAATATATAATTCTATATTTTGTATATATTACATAGAATATATAATTTTAATTATTATGTGTCTTTGAATGCTACATGAAGATTTTGTACTACTTACCATTTTCTTGTGCAAACCGGGATGCTTCTAAAAAAGTAACTTCACGATCTGCATCAAGATCCTTTTTGTTTCCGCACAGTATTATCACAATATTTTGACTTGCTAACATTCTTGCATCCGTCAACCAATTAGTAAGGGCATTGTAGGTTTCACGGCTATGTAGAAAATACCACCCTTTATTAGAACATGCTCATTCCTTGTGAACAGATCACTAGCAAACTCACATTTCACTAAAACTCAGGAAGGCAAACCTGTGTTTGTGGCAAACAACAAATTGCTGCTAGTCAGGCAAGTCACCTACACAGCTCAATATGTCAGCTATGAACTGGGAAGAGTAACAAGTTCCTTCATGAAACTATTTAAAAATTTAGTTTTTAAAAAGCAAAATTAAATCAACCAGAATATAGAAATCAATACATATAATTATTAAATACCCAGTTACTGTAAAAAGCTATGATTTTAAGCACCAACCTAGTTTCAGCCTTTTGTGCATGAAATCTTGGGATAAGAGAATGAATTATTGTTTATCATGGAATTCAATGGATATTTAAGTTTCAGGTGGGACCGTAAGGATTTACTATGCTTGTGTAGAATTGCATGCCTGAACTTTCACATCTGTGACAAGACCAGTAATATACCAGGCAGTTACCCTGCACACACCATTAGCCATTGTAGTGGTGGTCACAGATAAAGCTTTCAAGCAGTAAGACTGACAGATGAGTCCACTGACCTTAAGCACATACCACAGATTTCAAAGACTGTTCAGAAGAGAACAGTCCACTCATAGGACAAACAAACAAAAAAAAAGCAACAGATCTAGTGAATCACCATTAACGGACACAAAACTTATCTGCCAAATATCAGTCTACAGTGGCCAGGAAAAATATTGGCAACGTGTAACATATTCTACCGGCTGCCTCTATTAAAATATCAAAAACTGCAGAAGTGAACAGAATTTTGGACTACAGTTAAGAAATGTGTAAGAAAAGCTAGCTTCTCCAGAGAATGACCTGTTATGCCAACAGCTACTAATAAATGGTGTACCACCTTGGTTAAAAGTAGTCAAAGCCTGCTCTTAGGCTCTGTTGCAAGGCTTCTTGAGCCAGTGGTTGCAGGTAGTCCACCATGATCAGACCAGCTACTGATGGGCCAATTCCCAGTTATTTGTCTAACCCTTCGAGGCTGTTTACATTTATGACATTCACAATATCTCATATAAGCAAGCTCCAAAACTTAAATATGCACTAAACCAGAGATAGTTTTTATATTTCTTTTCTTCCTGCTGTTATACAACCACACAACTGGGGAGGAATCATTATGCATTAATAGTATCTGGTAGTCTATAAGCAAGAACAGTTGCTACCTTTCTTACCTGGTTATATCATAGACAAGCAAAGCACCTGCAGCTCCTCTATAGTAACTCCTTGTTACAGACCTGAAACAGAATTACAGATGTACATTTCCATAATAACTTAATTGTTTCAAATCTGGGTTCATATAATGCAATCTGTATTATGAAACATTTCTCATTTACATAGTTTAAATAAAATGGTTTTTTTTAGAAAACATCAGCTGTGCAGCAGCAGACTACTTACAACAAGCACTTTCACTAAATATAGCTGTGCAGGGATTCTCAAAGTCCATTATGACCTGTGTGCTCCTGAAGCTACACATTATCATACTAAGTATCCTGATACAGAACTGGGAGCTGATGGTACTATATGTGGCATAAAACTAGTGTAATTAATTTGTGTTTGAACTCTCAGCAGTGAGGAGAGAATGGGTAAAGTAGCTGTGATTGAACAACTTAAGACTCATTAAGTTGAAGAGGAAAAGGCAAGGAAAGCAAAACAAAGCATCCTTCAAAAGGCGGCCTAAGAAATAATAAAACCTGCTAAGTACATAGAGGTGTAACCAGCCTTAAAAAGAAAACAGTTATATACATTATAAAAAGAAACAGGGAGGGGGGTAGAATACCTGCAAGCCCCTGACTACTTTAAACTAGTTTGGTTCAGCTGTTCTGCTCATTTTGCCCCTCCTCACTGGCAGACCATGAGAAACTGAGTAGTCTTTGATCAGGGTAAGTGCTACTTAGCAACAACTAAAACATTGGTGTTATCAGCATTGTTCTCAGACCAAAGCAAAACACAGCACCGCAGCAGCTACTGGGAAGAAAGCAGCTGAAAGCAGGACAACTTGAAAGAGCAGAATTTGTGCAAGCTTTTGAAAGTACAGGGCACCTCCAAGCTCCTCAGAATCCCAGGATATTTGGCCAATACACCAAAGAGATCTCGTTAATGGAGACTATATAGCACTGCCCAGCTTCACCCAGCCATAGATGTCTCTAGAGAACTTGTCTAATAGAGGACATTAACTTGAATTGCTGCCCATTACTCAGACTTCCACCACCACGCTCACCTTTGATAACCACTGCCCCCCCCCCCCAAAGAAATGTCCCACCCACACCCCAAAAATATGAAAACTGATGTCCTATCCAATGGTGAATGTACTGAGGAATGCATCAGATCTTCCTGAGTTAGACCTATTCCTCAGATGTAGGACATTCAAAAACCAGCACTAAAAGTACATTGGTAGATCTCAGCTGACAAATAAGTTTCTTAAAGAAAAAGCAATGCAAAATATTTCAGTCTTGATAGAAATGTATTTAGCCACATTATCTTGACAACTGACTTTCTTCCTTCTAATAAAATAGTATTACACTATGCATTTGTTCTCATGCAGATTTTAAACAGTTTACAACTTCCTGGCATTAACTTATTCCCACCAGAAGAAAGCCTTCTAAACACAAGAGTTAAGCACACACAGTTCTGTGCTGAGCTTGGCTGGTGAACAAGCTTTTAGCCCCATATTCTATTTATATACCTTAACTATCACAGAAAATACTCAAGGAAAGAAAGGGCAGAACCTCAGATCTGCAAGACAACACTGCTTTACAGAAGTCAATGGATTTATGCCGCTGTATCCAAGTTGGAAGATCTGGCCTAGTAAATAATATGAAAGCAGACAAAACAATTCCACTGACCAAGAAACTATGCCTACTTATAAGTAGGCATAAATAATACACAATACCAACAGCAACAATTTACTAACAAACACTTAATAAAATGATTGAAATGGGTACCTGAATCTCTCTTGTCCTGCTGTATCCCATATCTGCAATTTTACATATTTACCACCAACATTTATGATCTTTGAACCAAATTCCACTCCTATAGTATGATTTGAGTCATCCTTGACTACAAAAACAGAAAAAGAAAAAAAAAGAAAAAGAAAGCCAGATTTATTTACAGCAAATAAATAGGTTTTACATAATCCAATTGAGGTATAATCAAAAATCCTCAGTGCTCTGATCACAAACTACTTCCCAAGCCACCAAATTCAGTGCCATTTAGAAGTCTAATGCCACCATGCAGAAACATTTACAATTTTGAACAGTTTATTCAATTCAAAATTACTGCTAGAAAGGGCTGCCTTAATCAAACCATTCCTAGGTCACATTAATAAATGGCAATTTAACTTCTGTACACTTCTTTTTCCCCCATCTGTGTTTTTTGATATTTCAGTGCCATTTAAAATTAAAATTCTTGGAATGGCAGAACATACAAGGGCACAGTCTTCCCATGAATAAGTAAGAGCTACTTCTTTAAAGCACAAAGTTAAGATACTTGCTGTACGTACACTGTTGCTCTCACAGATTCCCAGTTCAAGATCAATCATAGCATCATGCCATGTTCTTTAGTGATTACACATTCTTATCCTAGAGCTACTCATCAAGAGACAGGGTGAATTACCATTTGGTTGCAAAAGATAACAGTCACCTTTGATTTACCAAGTTTTCTAAAAATGCGTATTATTTTTCTTTAATCACGATGCTAAATGCACTACCCAATATGAAATATTCTTTTGTATCAGCCATTCATATCTAAGTAACATTTACAACGGAGTCTCTTTACCAGTATTTATCATAAAACACAGCCCTTAACAAAGAACAAAAAAAAAAAAATCTATTTATTTAGAGAGAGACTGCAGACTTTCTAAATCTACTCAAACAATTCAACTTCTCTTTCACCTGCTTAGTATTTTTTCTAGAAGAGCCAAGTCTCCACTATATACCTAGGGAAGCTTATAGCTGCAAGACAGAAATAGCACAAAAAATAAGTCTATATTTTCATCAACATTGAAAGTAAGAGTAAGAGGAAACACTGTTCAGTATCAGACTTCTGATTAGAGACAGCAATAAAGATTACAGCACAGTTGTGAACATAATTCTCAGTCAAAATCTTCACCTATACAACTAAAAGAATTACAGGAACTTCCATACAAAGAATAGATACTCATGTAGGCAGAGCCTTCATCTCTGGTACAAAGCAATGGAGAAGTCTCACCATGCTCACATATACTTACATTTCTTTTCAATAAATTGGTGTAGTAAGCAGGATTTTCCAGTTCCAGCATTTCCTATGACCAAGAACTTAAACAGGAAATCTGAAGATGGAAAGACAAAAAAAAAAAAAATTGCTGAATTTCAGTACACACCAAATACACAAGCTGGCTATTCTCTATTATTTGTTATTCCAAAAAGAAGGGAATAGATGACAAAATTAACAAAACAGCATTAAATCTGAAGAATAACCAGTGTGTTCAATAGTGATATTACAAAGTAAGAGCTAAGAATGTCATTTGTTCATAGAGTTAAAAGAATGACAGGAAGAGACTGAAACGGCTGAATTTGAGTTCAGTTAAAACAGGCCAAATCACAGGTATATGGCTGGCTTGTATTCCACAATCTGGTTTAAGAGCATATAAAAGATTAACTATAGTCAGTACAAATGCCCTATATAAAGATGTCATTTCTTAAAATCTGTATGGTTTTTATTTTTAAAATTTATTTTATTCACATTAATTTGAGCTTCCCTATATTAACCACTTAATACTCATAAAGCTGCATAACTACAGTATTTTTCTACAAATGTACAGACAAGGAATATTTTTACTCTGGGACGCCTGCTTTTCCATTTCCTCCACATGGTAAATTAAGATACAGGTACTTTGCCATTTTACCTGCTTATTGAGCCATTTACATCAGTGTTTATTAGCAATAAATAGGTTTGGTTTTGTTTTGTTTTTTTTTTTAAATAAATTCAAGATTTATGGTCACTGGTATTGTTTTAACAGTTACATATAATGCTTTAATCCTACCTTCCCAGATCTGCTTTCAGTTTAGTTACAGACTGAAGAAAGCTTCCTTGTCTTAGCACTCTGAAACATACACACTGATAAACTGTGATTAGAAAGTTTATAATTGCTTCCCCTAATATAGAGGTAATAGTTGGTGCAAGATTCACTACTTATTTGTTTACCAACAGCAGCTTGTTTTACAGCCATCTTTACAATTTATTGCACATTTTCTCTTACAAACATAGTGGGTTTCCAGAAGACATTAGGTAAGCATTCAATGAAAATGAGTACGTTTGAAATATCAACAAAGATAAAAACTTACCATTAATTTCATTAACAGTGTTCACAGCTGCCAAATGGTTACACAGATATTGGCCCAGAGGATGGCAGAATAAAAAACAGAATGAAGACTATGCTAAGCAACTCAAAGCACTGACATGTTACTCTATCACAACCTTGTTTTGAGTCTTTAGTTTTACAAATGGACTTTAATATGCACATGAAACTACATGCTCATTCCATTTCATGCAGGGATTCTTATGGTACACCATAAATGCTCCCTAGCAATGGTAAAGGCAACAAGCAAGTTTCTCACATGGTAAGAAAACTTCCATTGGTGAAAAGTCAATGGTAAAACAGAGGGCTATTACTCCTGTGAATGTCTGCTACCCATTGTCTTCACCTGTCTTCCAAATTTTACTCATATTTAAAATGAGGTAGTGTTTTACTAAGGATCTTTGATTTTTTTACATTTTACCTTTGCATGATTTTTCTTGTTTCGAATGTTGTAACATGCTTGGCACAGAATCTGTATTCTACCCTTCTCAGAAAGAGACTGCTGTTTCTTGCTCACAAATATGACCATTTACACGCTTAAGACATTCTGTTCCAAACTGCTCTCACTCTTCACGCCTCCACCCAGCTGCTCATGCTTTCTGGATGAAAAAAATAAATTACAAGAAGGTTTTTGCTTCAGGTTGTGAAAATTGTGTGTGTTATCTCCTCTAAAGAAGGGCCCTTCATGTAATCTCAACTGCAAAACAGGCTGAAGCTGAGAAACACTTCATTCTAACCAAACTTCACTGTTAATATGAAATGTAGATACATAGCCTCAAAGTGTTAGGTTAAGAGAAAAAAAAAAATCATCTCTGAAAACCAAGTTTCTCTTTTTATGTACCAAATATCACTAGTTAGCTGCCTTGTGTACCTTTTTGTATATTTAAACTACTGTGGGTGTGTGTAATCTCACTGGTTTTACCACTTGCAGAGTTCCTCAAAATGTGAGACATAATCACAATTAAAATAACCTGCTTCTGGTCTCTGCAGTTTTTCCCAAAACCAAATCTGAAATCCAGTTACAGAGGAGAACCAGCTTTATCTGGTGAATGCTGTTTGGCAGTTTTTCTTGTTGAAAACAACTACAAATTTCAAATCCACCTTCTTCCTCCCCCCCCCAAGTATCAGATAACTGACTGTAGTGAAACAATTAATATCAAACTAAACCAAGAGAAAGAATAAAAGCCAAACTCTACTCCTATACTAATTCGCTCTGTAACTGTAGGCACTGGTTAAATGTGGTTGATGAAGCCATACTTGTGCAACCCTCAGAGTCGTGCTGAACATTTAGCACACTGCTCTGCCCTGTGCAGACAAGCTGCAGACCAGTGGGCAATTGAGACAATGGTGTCACTGTCAGAGACTGATCTGGAATAGCTTCAGAACAGCACTGTACTTTCCTGAGGTGTTTTATGTTAGGGTGCTTTATATTTTGCACGGAAACAAAGAGTGGTATTTTGGGATTTTATATTCATCTCTTTAAACTGAGAACATATTCTATATAACAGACTCTGAATTCCTATCAAGATTCTATTGTACCAGGCAACTTTAAAAGGGAATATTTCCTATAAATAAATCACTTTGATTCAATATCTGTCTATTACTTAGTAGACAAAAAAAAAAAAAAAAACAACCCCAAAACCAAAAGCATTTTCCTCTGGCAACACAGCAGTGAAACCTGAAACTGCAGGTACAAATCACTTGTTTGCAGAACGAAAGTAAGATAAATGTGTTTTAGTCTACCAAAGAATGGTAATATCAAAATATTATAGCAAAAACTCAAAACCTTTCTGCACCAGAGAAGACAGCAATGTTTCCAAACACATGTAGGCTCATACACTAAATGATACTTTGAAGTTACATTCACAAGTGCAATGTATTCTATCAGTTTAAACGCCAATTTTATGTAAATTGTTCAACATAGCAAAAGGCTTTTAGACTTATGTTAACAGTTTATCCACAAGCACGAGATACTACATTTCGGGAAATACTTCAGAATACTTTGCACGTTTAATCAACTGCAAGGAAGGGAAGAAAACGGATTTGACAATGCCAAAAGTCACAAATACCCATATGTGTTTCTAAGCTCACAGCCTAGCATGTTAATAATAAAGTACTACCAGATAAGCACGGGAAGAATACCTTTCCTTTTGTTATTCTGGAATTGCTTTCTTATAATGTCTTTCTGCATGATAGCAGGAACCACATCAGTTTAATTTTTATACCTCTTCTTATTGCTGGATTTAAGACACAAAATATCTTCTCTCTGAACTGTACAGATGTATCTCAAAATGTACAACAGTTGAGAAACAAAGAAACTGAATGAGACAAGACAGATAGCTTCTTTTAGCCCAACTGTAACATCACTGTATATTCACACTGGGAAAAACTTTTATATATTCATTCTTCACAATTTCCCAAATGCAACTCATATGGTAATATCGGCATTACTGCTTAATTGCTCTAGTTTTGCCTTTTGGTGTCCTCTTCCCAATCATCCCAGAGGAGTTAAGTTACTTCATTTTTATAGCCCTTTTTATTTTTCTTTTTTTTTTGTGACTGACAAAGCAGCTCTGAGCTCCAGCATTCCAGTCAGCTGCCAAGCCTGTCACCCTAGAGAAGTTTTTCTTTTGAATTCTGTTGTTCTTCCTTCATGGAAAAGCTGAAAAGCAACATCACTCAGACGTTACAAATGCTTGCTACCATGCTGGCTATTCAAAAAGTCAGAAAGTTGAAGTACTTTGCCTGTAAATAAGATCATCATTACACAGAAAGGATTTAGGACAAAAACTGAATTCTGTGCCAAAAAGATCACAAGACATACACTACAGAAAGCATAAAGAGGTGAAAGATAACATAGCATGGCTGTTTAAGCAAATAAGGCAGTATGAAAAATCAGCTTACTCTCCCCTGTGAACTACATGCATCACCTGATCCCAAACTGGGTAGGGGGTGCAGGGAACAAAACTTACTTTCTATCATAGGTGAAAAGGTGTAAAATTGAGGCTCCATCCCAAAGATGTACCAGCAGCTAAATTACATAAACTACATGGTCTGGGGGGTGGCTAGGAGACAGGAGGGGAAGTTGAGGGTAAAGAAGAAGGGAGACAATTGTGGGCTTTGACTCAAGTACCAGCAAAATCAGATCATGATGTGGAAACCACCCCCAGACATCTAGTCTCCTCGTTTAACTGAAGTTTATTCCAGCAGAAGGAATAATTGAACAGCTTCTGAGCAACAGCAGCTTAGTCTTTAAAATGTAATGAGGATTGAATTGTTTCTTATATGCTTGCTAATAAAGAAGGGGGGAAAAAAGACCAAATTATATCCTCACTCTCAGTTTGTTCTTCTTCGAACTCTTTGATAAAAAGTAGAATTTATATTCACTAATGCTGACCCCTTGGAAACTCTTATTCATGTAATGAAAAAGTCTTCTACTAGTTAGACATCTTCTATTTTGCAGAAGTCTGCATAAGGGAAGACTGCTTTGAAGCATTCCTACTGCCATATGCTTCCTCTAAATGAGAGAAAAGAGCTGTTCTCCCCACTTACTCCTTTCTCCAGCAATAAGTGTTACCAAGATAACAGGTAGCACAGATAAACCTGCCTTCTCTATTCTAATCTGCATAATGAATGCTTGAAAGATCTGTTTCCTTATAAACAAAAAGAGCCATGCTCTCTAAGCAATAAAATCAGATTTGAAATAAACCAAAGGCCAGGATGATAAGTGCAGGGAGCGTCAGATAAGGGACAAGGGTGGGGGAGAGGGGAGGTGGGAATGAGAAGGATGAATCAAATTGCCCAGACCAAAAAGGGATATTTTTAGATGGACAGAAAGCCTATACATTCTCCGAAAATGACAGACTGATGAACTTGTGTGACCAGACTGACAGAAGCAGATACTGGTGGAGAAAACACAGAGCAGTATGGACTGAAGAGATTTGACTAGAATCTTACATATCACGTTTACTCAAAGATAGTACAACCTTTCTTCTGCCCCCCTACTGTTTAAAATCCAAAGGTTGCTTTGCATTTACCTATTAAGGGTAAGCTATTTTTAGGTCAGCATACACTTACCATAAAACAGAACTCATATTTTGCACTGTGAAGCAGGAGAAAGCATACATGTGTTGTTACATGGTACCTATCTACAGGGAGGCCACTGCATCTCAGAAAACTTAAAGTAGTTTTCCTGTAAGAGACTTTTTCCCAATGTTACATGATAAACTTTTAAAGAATGACCCTCCTGTCCCAAAAAGCAGCAGTATAATGTTCTTTCTAAACTCGGTTTCAAAATTCATGGAGTTTTCTTCCATTTATGATTGTTTTGGTTTTGATTTTGGCACTTTGTAAAGTATAAACAGATCAGAAAGCTGAGAACAGAAGATACACAGCTGATGAAACAGATCTAAAGGAGAGAAAATACAGATTACAAACAAGGAATTTAGTGCCAAGGCTGTGAGAGGCTACAGAACTTGGTTTGAAAAAAGTGAAGAGATCATAATCACAATAAGGGACAAAAATAGGTGGGAAAAGTGGGTGAATAGGAAAGCTTCAAATAAGACAGACATCAGAAAGAAAAGAATTCAAGGAGGGAAAAAACCCAAACCAGCAAACAGGGAAACACACGTAAATTAACTGAGGAGGATAATGAAGTAAGATAGGTGGAAAGGACAGACCAGAAGAAAGACTCTTTGTTTCTCATTAACTGAGAAAAACGTATTAAAAAAAAATAAAAATTAAAATACTGCCTTTCAAAGGGAAGGCAAGCTGCAACCTCACAGAAAAACTGAAGTCATGTAAAAATCAGACAGCAAAATTACATTAAAGCAACCCCCCAAAAAAATAATAAAATAAACCCAACCAAACAACCAAAAAAAAATCCCCCAAACCCCCCAACCAAACCAACAAACCCCACCAATCACTTTCTTGAGCCTATCCATATGGATAAAAAGACTGAGGTTACATAATTAGAATGGGTCATAATCCAGATGGTAAGAAGAAAAACTCAATTCATGAATAAGCATCTACAAGGGTAGAAGCTACAGGGATTCCAGCACTGAGGTGACAGTGACCACTGATCTCAGTCACCAGGGGGACACTGCCCTAATACTTCTATCATTCTCAACTGTCCCTGTAACAGATGGTCAGAAACAAACCACTCTTTGTTAGGACTGGGAGCACATTAAATCCCTGGGAGTTCATGAAGCATAGAAGAGCCATGATTTTATCACATCAGACTCTTTACTTCAAACTGTCAATTCGAATGCTACATACGTGGACAGGACTCTGCAAAATTAGATATTGATTACTGTTAAGGTCGGAGGTGGTATAGCAATTGTTAAATTTTATGTTATAAAATAGGATTTGTTCTTCTATTTACTCTAAAACTTAACAACCTCAAGTATTCTAGCTCAGAATTTTTGTAGCTTGTATATGAATAGAACAATCATTGAAACTCAAAGGAGAAATATATCAAAGAAGAATTAAACAAACAAAAGGAATAACCCAAAACTGCGAACCTTCAATTTTAGGGGCTTGTTTTCTAGGACACCAAAACAATCACAAAGCATCAACAGCAGGCTTACAACCACTATTTTTTATCACTGGAACAAAGCAAAAAATGTTGAAACGTACTTAAGCTACAACCTATCTATTTGGCCTGCTTATTATTACAGGATCAAAAAGAGAAGCACTGCTGAAAAGCACTGTCAGTACTTTTGCCTACCAGCCCATCTGCCAAAGTGATCCCAGGTCTGATCATCAGAGTTGAGGGCATAAAGAATTAGTTCAAACTCAAATCTGTATCTACAAAGCACCTCTCTCTGTGTTCTATATGTAAGTTTTACGTTTTTCAAGAAAGCATGGATAAAAAGAAGCAGGGTCTGAGCACCCCAGTGTTCACATTTCAAGAGCTGCCCCATGCTCTTGCCTCATTTTGCCCCTTAGTTCTGTGTGTCTGCTGTACACTGCAGCACTGACTGGTGGGACAAAACATCTTCATGTTGACGATGACTTAATGTTACTGATGACTACAGTATTGCAAATATGCAGCAGAAATAATCAGATCAATTAGCCTACTAGTAAGAATTCCTGGTGGCCATGCCAGGCTCCCTCACAGTTAGCAGTTGTGTTCAATTTTGATTTGTCCAAACTACTATTTATTTTCAAGACTGCACTAAAAGCAAGAGGATGCAAGTCCAGCTCTAAAGTCTGAACAGATCCTGAAGACAAGATGTTGCAACAGAAAAAGCTAGAAAACAAGTGAGGAAGTTTATCACTTTTCAAGCGATCTTACTCCCCAGCAACCTGTCACATGGACTTTGAGTATGTCTGACATATGAATGACAAATCACATGGACTTTGAATATGTATGACAGCATTTGTATACTCCAAAATACTTCAGAACTGCATGTTATGGAGAGGGGAAAAAAAACAAATTGATTCAAGCAAACAGGTGTTTCAAGCAAAGTTACGAAGAAGAGAAACAAATACTAGTCAGTTGTTTCCCACCTCCTCCACCTAGCCAGCAGTACCAGCTCTGTACACCTTTTCTACCCCCCACTTATCTTTGACCAACCTTAACGATCACCTAGTTCCAACCCCTCTGCCCCAGGCAGGGACACCTTTCACTAGACCAGGCAAAAGCCCTGTTCAACCTGGCCTTGAATACTGCCAGGGATGGGGCAGCCACAGCTTCTCTGGGCAGCCTATGCCAATGGCTCATCACCCTCACAGCAAAGAACTTCTTTGTAATATCTAATCTCCCCTCTGTCAGTTTAAAACCATTTGACCCTGTCCTGTCACTCCATGCCCTTGCAAAAAGCCCTCTTCGGATTTCTTGTAGGCTCCCTTTATGCTCTAAGGTCTCCCCCAAGCCTTCTGTTCTCCAGGCTGAACAAGCCAAATTCTCTCAACTTGTCTCCATAGGAGAGGTGCTCCAGCCCTCTGAATATCTTCATGGCCTCCTCTGGACTTTGATGGCTCCTTTGTGAGGCACTAACACTCCATCAGTACCTGCACTCCGACTTACTCGCCTGGATGTTTTCTGCCTCAGCAGCTAGACATCCATGCCAACACAGGGTGTAAAAACGTACTCACTGATCCATTTGCCCTAACTCACTGTCATGATCAGCTCTTTTTAATGCTTGCAAACCTCAGACAGCTGGACTGAAATCCTAACCTGACCCTCAAAAATACACAATCTCCAACTAACGTGCAGCTTCTCCCGGAGGACACGCACTGCAACTTTCCCCCTGAACTCAACGAAACAAGTAGTGGTTGACTTCCCTCGCCTACATTTCGAGTCAACACCTCCACACCGTGCAAGACCATTCCGACGGCTCACTGCCGTGTCAGCCCGCGCACCAAAGAGAAGGAGGGAGAAAGGGAGAGAGCACTCAGGGCAGAGAAATCCGCCCGAGACCGGGCTCAGCACCCCACTCCTCAGGAGATGACGGCCTGCGCCCGCTCGTCGCTGAGGGGAGGAGGAAGAGGAGGGTCACCCCAGCCCACCCCGCCCCTCAGTTCCTACCGTAGGTCTCGGCCATGGCACTCTGCGACATCTCGGGAGCGACGAGGCCCCGAACACTCCTTCTCTTCCGGGGCCGGTGCTGGTGAGCGGAGACTCGCAGCCCGGCAGCGCCGAACGGGCGGGCCGGGAAGAAAGCGGAGGAGCCACCGCCGCCCGGCCCGGCCCAGCCCGGCCCGGCCCGCCTCAGCCCCGCCCCGGCACTAACAACCGCACCTGCGCACGCGCGCCCTGCCCGCCCCGCCCTCCGCCGGCGGTGGGGTGGGGCACAAGCCCCGCCTCCCCGCGCAGGCGCAGTGAGGGCCGTGAGGGGAGGCGGAGGCTGGTAGGGCAGTGGTCGGGAGTGATCCGTCATCCAAGCGGTTGTGTGCGGCTCTGTGGGTGACCGAGGCGCTTCCCTCCCCTCCCCTCCCCTCCTCATGGACAACGGAGCAGCTGGGGAGGCTGCGGCGGGGAGCGGGGCGGTCCCTCTCTGCTGGCACCTTCTGATTGTCTCGAATCTGAGGCGATTCCGGTTGACTTTCCTTGCTAGTGAGACGAGGAGGCACAAAAGCACAAAACGTGATCAGTTCTAAGTAACCTGAAGTTTGATGGGTTTGTAATGGAAAATAACTGCGGTGCTTGAAGGTAGCTGACATAGTTTTAGGTCCTTAGGACCTTAGTACAAAAAGTGTAAGAAAAGCAGAATAGAAAAACAGGACCTGGGATGGGGAGTATCTGGGACTAGCAGATGTCCGGGGTGGGCACAGATAAACTAACTGATAAGTAGAAGGACAGGATGATTGCTATGTTTGTGGTGGCAATGAACCCATTAAGCTGGTGTAAACATCTCCTGGGGAATATCCGGGACTAGCAGATGTCCAGGATGGGAGCAGTTAAACTAACTGGTAAGTAGGAGGACAGGATGGTTTCTATGTCTGTAATGTTAATTAAGCTGGTGCTTCAAAGACTGCCAGAAGTTATGAAGATTGTTGGGAGAAGTAAACGACCCTCAAAGACAACCATCACATTTTTGTATGCATGCGGGAAACTTTCTGGAAAATGATGTAATTCATGTGTAGCCTCATGAATATGTATGTATGCCCAGGGACTATATAAGGATGGCCTGTGCAGCCATATGGGGATACATGTTAGGAGGAGCTGTCCCCCCTGTCTCCCGGCGCTGCAATAAAGAATACCTACTTATCAGCTTGAAAACTTTGTTGGCGAGTTTGTTCCTGGAGTTTTCTCCTAATCACTAGTGAGCCCGTAAACGTTTCTATCCCGGTACAGAAACTCCCTGTGACACTTCGTCCTGAAAACTGCAGCCCACCGTGCAGCTCTGGGCTTAAAATGCCTGCCCTAAGCTCTTTGATATTCTGTCTGTCCCTTCAAACCCCGTGTTGCCAGGATTTCAGTCAGAAGCCGAGCCTTTTGGTGCACATCTGTTTGAGGGATGTAATTATACGTAAACTACCAGACTGGGATTTGGTTGGTTTGTTTAATTTTTGTTCTTTACAGAGATTCCGACTTCACCATTGCATTCCTTACTTCCAAAATAAACCCAAGGAAAGACAGATTGTTGAATAATTTGTTGTCTTACTAACATTTGATGTCTAACACTGTGATCCTGGTTGCTTAGCCTGGTAGCAAGGGGCACTGAGTCTTCACCCCAGCAGTCTGTCCATCTTTCCCCCCCAAGACAACACTTCCTCTCTGTCCACATTCTACTTTCTGCCAGTCCTTTTAAAAACTCCTCTTCTGTTTTCAGTTCTTCTGTTTTCAGTCTGGCTTTTTAGTCTTGTTGCTCACAACTTCCCATTCTTCCCACTTTGACACCATCCCCCAAGCTGTAGGAAAAACTGCCTCTGCCTGTCCAAGCCACCTCCTTACCAAGCCTTTCCGGTCAAAGGTCAGCTTTTAAGTTCCCATTAGTGAAACAACAGGCATTGAGCCAGCACCAAGAACCCCTCAGAGAATCTGCTGACTGTTCTTGTTGTTTTGGATACATACAGACAAAGTTACATATAGACTACTTAACAAGTTCATACTATTAACAGTAATTAGAGGTTATGTAGACAGGTCCCCAAAGTTATTATAGCCCTGATGCACGGAGGATATTGAGGTCTGAAATGTTGCATGCAAGCGTTTCTCTAGGGTATCTGATCTCCAGAACACTGGAGGAAGCTGAGGGGTCTTCACATGAGCTGTGTGGATCCCAGTATGCCACAGATGAGAGCTTTGTCCCCCAAAATGGTATGTTTTGAGGCTTAGGTTAAGCTTTAAAGAAGTTTGGTCTAATGCCACCAAATCCTTGATAGATGGTTATTTTTGCTCCCCCCCCCCCCCCCCCCAATAAGTGTTAACAAATAACTTACTGAAAATATGTCATGTTATAGCAATAAGAGAACATGGATATTTAGACATCTTGCCCTGTATAAACAATACTTTAGGCTGAGACAAATTAGTCTTGTCAAATCTTGGTTTTTATTGTTATCTTACAAGATGAGCTTGCCTATATGGAGGTTATATTTAATAAATGTCATCTTGCTAATGCAACGCTCTTCTGCCTCCAAACACTCCCAATTAGTTTACATGCACACATGCCAATAAAATACATTAAATCTGTAAAGCTTTCTGTAAAAGCTGTTAGTAATACTGAACAAGAAGATGTAGGTTGGAAGAATGGTAAAGCAAAGGACAATGTGAGAGGTGAATACAATTTGGTGTTTCAGTGTTCCTGCTTTGAAGAGGAAATTAGAACAAAGAATAAAAATCGGAAATAATGAAGAAAGATTGTACTAGGTTAGAAAAAATACAGCTGACGCTTCAGTAATTTGAGCATATAGGCTCCCATATGCTAATAGAATAATTTTTTTCTGAGTAGTCAAAAAATAGAGTTAACCTCATTCATGTCCATCTTGAGTATGAGGGTGAAAATGAACCCCAAAGCCAAAAGTTTAATTCATCTTCTGATTTATGGTTCCTGTTGTTCACATCTGCTAGAAACTTCTGGCTCATGTGAATACAGATATATTATGTCAAATTGTATCTGCAGATCAGGCATTTAAATGCTATCATTTCCTTCTCAAATTAGCTTCACCACAATTATTGTGCCAGTAATTTGTTGTGGCTTTAAAATAGTTGCTCAGAAGGTAATGTTAAGATTTCTCTAAAAATCCCAATATCAGTGTTTACTGTTTTTTTACTAGCTAGTAATAGGCATAGAAGAGAGGACCCCAAGATATGCTCAGAGATCCAAACTGAGGATAGGGTATTCTGTGAAAGCTTGAGCTTCCAAAACAAAATAACCTGGCTTAGGTCTTTGCAGGTTTGGGTTTGGCATTTAATGATTTAGCACTGCAAGCTGCCAGATCCCTGTTTTCCTTTGCCGTACTGAAGGGAAACAGAGTTGTTTCTGGATCTAAAGCTGTGCCGTGTTTTGAATTCACCTTCATTGTGGACTGAGTGCTTCTGGCTGGGGCAGGAGTGCAGCTGGGGTGGGCTGTTACCCAGGGGAGTGACAGGGCAGCATGCCTTGATTTCGTCTGAAGGTGGCACCACAAGGCCGTATTGAAAAGCACTACAGCAACCTAGCGCTGCTGTTTGTTTTCTCTATTACCTACGGCTGTGTGACAGTGTCCCATCCGAGAGACTCAGGTGAAACGGGAATAATGTACTCTGCCGCACTTTCCTGTTCTTGTGTGCTGAATACGGAAAGCAATCCATTGTATGTGGAAGTGGCAGGCTTCAGCTCGATTTGAAGCAGCAATGAACTTGGCTTCTACGACCCAAGTGAAATATGAAGACAGGTGACTGATACTCTGAGAAACCTCTGAAGTTTCCATGACCTCCTTGTGCACAGTGTCATTGGCCAGCTGACCTCATCTGAACACAGCTGACATCATCTGAACACAGCTGACATCATCTGAACACTGTCATCTTCAGCTTCCACAGAAACTGCCCTCAGCCCATGAACATGGTTGTCAATGTAATTACAGTTGCACATGGAAATTTATGGGTTGGCTACTTCTAAAATAATGGGCTCATCCTTCAGCTGTAAGCCCAAAGTGACAGGAGCGGGTGAAGAATGTGAGTGCAAAGATACATTGGTGCTGTAATTGCACTCCTTTATCTTGCCCTATTGTGAACTTTTCCAAGAATAAATATGAATCCCATGAGCTACACTACTGTACTGGCAGCTGCTGATAACTAGTCTGGCATGCTGTATGCTAGGTAGCTGCTTTATTCTTTCATCGTGCTCTCTTCACAGTACCTGGGAGAAGGCAGCCACACTGTGTAACCTGGTATTAGTGAAGACTTACCTGGGTTAAGCTCTTTTTAGGATGGCTTTATCCTATAATGCTATAATGCTGAAGTATAAATTTGCCCTGATGTGGGATTGACTAACATCTCTTTTTGTCTTGCAGACCTCTATATAATGTTTTTAGGTGTTTTGTGCAGGGAAACATATTAATGCTCATTTATTAGTGCTGTATATTTAAAAAAGAAATATATAGAATATACATATATATATAAGATGGTAAAGGAAATCAGACTATAGACTGTAGCTTTCAAAAACAATGATTTAATTGATTTAATCTTGAAAAATCATGTAAATAGAGTGAAGGGATCTAAATACTTAGTTCAGCATGTCAAGAGAGGCACAGGAAAATGAAGCCCCAAGAGAACTGGGACATGTTATAAAAGTACACTACTCATTGCAGTGTCTAGAATACAGATGGATTTGTGTGACACCTGTGTTTTATGATGTTAGCCTCATGGTGTCACCAATTAACTACTCTGTTGGTGAAATAGTGATCATGGGATGTAATTGGCTTCACCTTTAAAAGTAGGGAATGGCTAAGGGGGTTGGTATTTTTAATACCGTATACTTGAACTAGAAGATTTGTTAATAGATTACTCAGGGACATTTGAGGCCACATGAGTGTTCCCCTTTCAAGCTCAAAGCAATTTTCTCTGCTCAGGAGAACTTGCATATAATGAAAAGGGTTGCTTGCTCATTTATGACATGTTTGTTGAGTGAGTATCCTCGAAGAGATGATATAGCAGTCCTGATTCAATTCTGCCTCTTCAGTTGCTTTGAATGCAGCACCAGGAAGAAATCAAAGCTGGCTTTGGACACAGGTGTGAACCTGCATGGTTCACTTGCATGGCTCTACAAGCTGTGCGTCTGTCTGGGTCAGTGTGTGAGCTGCATGCTT